CTAGCGCGTTTTACAATTTCTCCCTTGATGGGTTCTCCATGTCTTCGTAGATATCAACGAACCCCAGGGAGCTCAGTCAACGACAAAATACGACCGTCACAGGCTTATCAACTCTAAGTTCCCCGTGTCCGCTGGGCCCACCGGTTGACAGATCCAGCCAGATTCTTTCCGAGGAAGAGAAGGTGACTCACACTTTTTGTACTGCCATCATTGAATGCTGCAGCTGCTCGTGACGCATCGAGATACTGTAGTCTTCGAAATGCCGTGTAAAATGAAAAGGTAGGCTTAGAAAAGGCTATTTCAGTTCTGTTGCTTGCGGCTACCCACACCCACGATAAGAACTTATACGACAGCCTAAACAGGATCTGCGTAAAGGAACTGCCCCGCTCACTTAAGATAGACAGCATTGTACTCAATTTCAGAAAGGGCAAATATTCCGTGTCTTAGCCTTGACATAAAACTAAACTGTGACCGTAATTGTTAGCTTTTCCTAAATCTGACAGTTAACACGAACCCAAACCTTAACATAATTCTGACCCTTACCCTAACCCCGCTGAACTGAGCTTAAAGTGAATTTATGTGTTTCGCCGATCTAGTAAAGGAACAATTAAGTTCCGCTTTGCCCAGGAGCTCACAACGTAAACCCGCCAGACTGTCACATAGTGACTAGGATGATATGATGAAAAGGATCCGACAAAGCAAAGGGAGACCGGAACGGCCATTTGTGGCTTATTAGCCGTCATCAGCTAGTCAAATGCAACCTCAAGCGTTGGAACCCCCGAAATTTGAACCCGGGACCTTTGGTCATCGAGTTCAATACTCTATCTCTAGTCCACGGGCTCCTTGCTTTGTCGTTTGAGATGGGGAATTTGATGAATGTGTGTTTCGCCGATCTAGTAGAGGAACAATCAAAATTATATGTATTCTGAGGGATTTCTGTTTAGGCTACCATGCAGCTCATCCTGACAGAGTGGTACGGTCAAAGTTTACAGAACTATAACAGTTGCGACAGGTGGCATATCGGTGAATTTCAGGAAGGGTAAATATTTCCAAGTACAAACTTGAACGCGAATCTAAACCGCAGCCCTAATCTTAAATCAAACTTTTCACTTAAACTACATTTAGCACTTTCCCCATCAGGAACCCTAACTTAACTTTGCACCAACCTTAAATCAAACCCACATTTTAATCCTAATTCCTCGGAATTTGGCGTAAAGCCACA